AGTGGACACTCAGTGATAACGTGGCACTAATGCAGTCAACACTACAGTCAATACAACTCACATACAGTTGTATTGCGTAAACACAGTCTACTCTCGCATTGCAATCAACTTTCACTGCTTTACACAACAAAGTATGTGTTTTCTCCCAATACTAGAACATTAACTGAACGTTCATTTCAATGAAACACATCAATACAATGCTGTACTTTATGGTGCAAATAGTCCACATTCATTCATTAGTACAGTAATGCCAGTACAGAATTTGTATACCGGTAGATTCTATGCTAAAGAATAAGCTTAAATATAAAATAAAAATAGTTTTATAATAATTATTGTATAACGTAGTTATATTTTATTTTTTGTTGTTTGTTGTTTCAATCGCCAAATCAATGTTTGGTTTAGTTGTCGATAGTTCTCATGAGTATCGGATCATCACAAATATTAATTATATGCCGTAATTATGAGTAATATAGCTAGATTAAATTATTAATTGTCCACATAATATGTTTACAATGATTATACAGTAATAAATTTATATGTACATGTATGAATATAAATTATAGAAGTGTAAATGTCTATCACTCTATGGTAATTATTATAATTACGATTTAAGAGAGTAATCTTATTGAGAGTAATACATTGAGAGTAATGAGCATGCAACTATTTTGAAATTATTTTGGACTAGGGCAAAATACAATATCTTTGAGTACAGTAATATTGAAACTAAAAATCATATATTCTGTATGAATTGGTAATTAAAAATTATATTCAAATTTCACTCAACCATTACTAAACTTGTCAAACAATATAAATATCACTTTTTGTTGTTAATAAAGTTACCACGTTTTAATAATTATATTTTTAATAATTATTATATTTCTACTGTTTAATTTTTGATTTTAATAAAATTTAAAATAATATTAATGTTTATAAACATAGTTTTATTTGAATAAATAAATCATAAAATTTAAAATAACTTTTATATACTATTAAAACTTTAAACAATATTAAATACAAAATTGAGAATTTACTATAACTATATGATATAGTCTATATCATTACATGTAAAGGAACTTTAGTTTATTGAAATCAAATTAAATAAATAAAACTTATATTTGATTAAATGTTATATATATTTATTTAAGAAATACCTAAACGTTGGGATCATATTTTTAAAACCAGTGACCACTTGAATGTCACGTTCTTTGAAATACAGGTACTCATCAACTTTTACAGACACTATATTTTAGCCAAACGTTAACATTTTATATTGATTTTTTAATTTGCAACTTAATATATAATAAATTTAATTTGTTTATGCGTTGCTATAATTTGATATATAATTTGCAATTATTCTCTCATTTACCAAAACATGTCGAAACAAATTGTTGTGCTTTTGTTGATATTAATTATCAATCAATCATTTGCTAATATATTAAATAATGTCTTGAAAATAACTCAACCATTGATTAGTACTCTGGGCTTAAAGAAGGGCTCAAAATTGTCTCTGGTATTCAATAGTAGAATATATTGTATTAATATTTAAAGTTATAATTTGTTAATTAATATTTTAATTTATGTTAATCACGAAAAAAGTTCGATATGTTGTCAAATAATATTTTGAAAACACCCGATGGTAAGCAAATATTTATTAAAATTCTATAAAGTATCAAGATTATTTATTATACAGTACTATGCCTAACTAACTGTGTATATTGCATATAAATGAGGTGGCACAATTAGCGAGGGAGATATAGTGTCGTATAAGGATAGAGATAAGGATACGGATCAAACCAAAAGCATGACGAGTGATGAAGATTTGTGGCCGAATGGCATTATACCCTTCATGTTTCATAAATGTATTGTTTATTATTTAAATGCAACATAAAATATTATATTATACAATATTTGTATAGCTATTGATAAGGATAACAAAGAGTTAATAACAGAAGCGATCAAACATTGGGAGGAAAACACATGCATTCGCTTTCGACGCAAGAATTCAAAAGATGTTAATTTTGTCCGCTTTAGAGGCGATACTTCCGGGTATTATTACTTTTATCAAGTATTTAAAATTAAACTTAATAATGCGGTCAATATTTTACTTGTGCTAATAGTTGCTGGTCTTCGGTTGGCCGACAATACGAGAAGATCGGTCCACAGGATATTAGTTTGGGTTCCGGTTGTTTCAAAGTAATATTAGCTAATTGTAAGAAACATGCATAACATTAATAAATAAACTTATATTTTCAGTTTTATACTGGTAATTATACAGGCGTATACGAATATTTGATTTAATAGTATTGATTAATTTGCAAAACAAGCTGTCCATGAAATCGGTCACGCAATTGGTTATTACCATGAACACTCACGTAGAGATCGAGATCAGTTTATTGAGATATTATGGAATAATGTAAAGCCAGGAATGGATGTTCAGTTTGAAATGAAAGTATATATTCTGGTTTATTATAATCAATCTTAAGAATTTATCTCAAAACTAATCGGAATATGAAAGAATTTACATTTACCCTGGCCATTTTTGCCATATACAACATAACATTTTATTTTTTAAATGACAAATTTTCATTTTTTGTCGTAACTTTCCAAAGTTACGTTAAAAGTATGAAATTCCTTTACAATTTGATATCTCTTATCATTACTTTCTATTGATATATCAATTGACATACTTATTCATAAAATAAAAAATTGACTTTTAAATTTTTCACGAAAAAGTGGTCACTCCGGCCAAACCCGAGGTGGGCTTACAATATGAAGTATAGCACTCGACTCCATAAGGAATGAATATTCATTTTATTACAAAAAATTTATTCGCAAATATGATTTTTATTGGTTGTTATATCAAAACTTATTCCTGAGTGTAATTCTCTTTAGTTTTGAGATTAATTCTTAAGCTTGATTATAATTCACTCATATTCTCAATGTTTTTACAAATAGGATACACGCAATGAAGGCGATGTATACGACTATAAATCTATAATGCATTACCCGGCTTGGGTTTGTTAAACATTTGATTACTTAATGTGCTGTTAATTGTCACCAAATTAATTAACTACCGGTATTTCAAAAGGCTTTTAGCAAAAGTCCACTCAGTAAAAGTGTACTCGTGGCCAAACATCCATTTAATCAGTATCTTATTGATGAGGATAAGGAATCGTTAAGTTTTAGAGGTATTCAATGAAATTTATAATAACATTTAAAATGCTTATTAAATTTGATTCTTTGGTTTATAATTATTTCAGATATAAAACTCACAAATACTTTATATAAGTGTAATCGTAAGTCAAGTGCAAACATTTATTCATAAAATATAAGATATTGTTCTTATTTGACAGAAAAATGTTTAAATGATGAAAGTACTAAATGTCAAAATAACGGATATTTAATGCCCGATACTAATGAATCGGAGAACTGCAGTTGTATTTGTCCGCCAGGTATTCAACATTTTTTTTATAAAATTTTGACAAAAACTTAAATTTTTATCCAAAATATTGCATTATCTGCTGACTTGTAAGAAAGATATCTTTTTAACTACAATTGAACTAGGAATAATGTGGTTTATAGAATCGTTTGGCCCCTCTTTTTAAATGTTTTTGACAATAATTAGTTCGATTTGTTATGTTATTAAGTATATCTCCATTATTCCATTGAAATAACACTACTCCCATAGACTTTGACATGCATTATCCTATGTTACAACATTATCCATGTTAAGTCTATGTCATAAACTTAAGCTGTAATCCCATGTTAAATCCCATAGGGTGGGGTGCCGGAGGGAGGGGGGCCAAACGATCCTATAAACAACATTATTCATAGCTAAATTGTGGTTAAAAATAAAACAATTAATATACGTCTGATAAGCTTATACAGTGGTATTGTATATCTGTATTCCTGAATTCATGTATTATTTAATTTATTTCTAATCAATAGTCGTTAATATTTTACTTTGATTTCTAGGCGTTAGTGGAGTTGTTTGCGAATCTGTTGACGAAACGAAGAAATTGGATAATATTGAGCCTAAATGTGGTGGAAATATAACACAAGAAGGTATTACTTACTTAAGTTAGAATTCAATATACAAACGAAGTCTTCATTTGAAGGCATAACTAAGCCGAGAGGTGCCACGATTTTCTCGGTGCCAATCCATAGTTTGTGACATAAGTAACAATCAATGTTAATATGAACATGATCGCAGGGGTGCATCACCCTCAAAGACACCAATTTCTCAATAGGAAAAGCAGCAGTCACAGTGATCATATAGCTTAATCACTCAATTCTATGTCTAATGCTTTTTCTATGAAGAAATTGGTGTCTTATGCCACAATCCATCGATTGGCACCTCTCGGCTTAGTTATGCCTTCAAATGAAGACTTCGTTTGTATATTGAATTCTAACTTAAGTAAGTAATACCTT